CGCAGCCCTGGCTCTGGAACCCAGGGCGCCGTCACGGACCCCCCGCTACCACTCAACAGCACCAGCAGACAAAACGAATGGCCAAAAGAAAAAGCAAAAACAGCGGTGGTCAGATTGGCCAGGACTTGAACCTGGGACTTGCCATGGAAGCGATGTTAACCCACGACATACGTTACCACTACGCCACCAATCCATAAACGTTTTCGGTTTCCGCTGTATAGTGGGACTGGGGTTTTGACACATTATATACTGATAATAATGGAGAGATGCACCACAAGACTGTGCCTCCTCTCGCCTTGTCGTCGGAGCCTCCTCGTGACTGACACTACGTGTGACGCATGATCTTCGAACTCTTTGCTTTCAAATTGTGTATGAGAGACCACGCTCCAATCACGTGTTCCTGTTCTCTTGCCACGGCTCAGGTGAGCTATCTCTGCTGTGAAAAGGGGTCAAGCCTGTCGGCTATGTTGCCTGCGGAACTTTACGCATTATAGCAGCGAAACGGCGCGATGTCTTGTCGTTTGTATTCGCTCCATTGTAACTTGTCCCTGACAGCTGACACGCGCTTGCAGTAGTCAACACCGACAAAATAAAGCGACGGTGCTTTCCTTCTTGGACCAATGCGGTCTCAGCCAGTCGATGACATGCGAAGGAACTCATATGACGAGAACGTGGCGAGCGCATCCAGTGAGCATGTTGCTCTTCACTAGGAAAGCGCCAAGGCGATGTCAACTTAATTTCGATTTCCGGCTGCAGCGAATTCAATTCTTGCCCTCAAACTCGACATGCACACATGGGAAGAATGAGGAGGCTTCGAGCACGCCAACACACAGTCACGCATGCACACCCATCACTGACAGCCGACAGCACCCCACAAGCGACGACACGAACATACACACACTATGCGCACAACATCCTCACCACCAGCCGAATTGCCCCCCTTCAATCCCGCCGCATCGTCCACGGGGGACTCGACTGAACCAGCCCGTCACGCCCGCGGCGCATCTTGGCTCTGCCGGCCGCCGGCGCGCAGGGAAACACACACATACATCCCTGACAGCGCCGCCCCGGCAACGCCCAAGCTAGTTTGCGTTTGTCTCGGAAGATAGACGGACGGAAAGACAGACGGTTAGGTTCGCTGGCTGGCTGGTTGGTTGGTTGGTTGGTTGGTAAGTGCCGGTTGGGTCGGTCGGCCGGCCGGCAGATATCCCTTGAACGGGTGGCGGTTGATCCCGCGCGCTCGCCCGTCCGTCTCTCCCGCTGCCTGCGCCCGGTGCTGGGGTGCGGTTTTGGCGGGTTGGCCGACATTCGCGAATGAGGAGGCGTGTGACGGGAGGGGGAAAGAATTAAGGCTCGAGAACGTCTCTGGTTTGCGGAGATTCGCGATTTTTTGACTGGGCGGTCAAAGTTGCTGGCCACGGAGGCTTCCTTAGTCAGGGTTGTTGGATCATCATGATGCAACACGACAACAGCTTGCGTTGCCGACAAGGACGGCTAAGGTCAGATTGGCAGGTGCGAGAAGTCAGTTGCGTTCATGACCTGCTGTCAACTGTCATGACGTGGAGCCAAGTGAAATTCGCGGTAGTTAATAGTCTGGCGAGCAATCAGAAAGGCGGCTGCTGGACGCCGGGCCATGGAAGGTAGAAATGCTTCAAGGCAAGCGCAGTATAAGGCGGTGAGAAGGCATCGATGAACATTTATTATATCACTAGTAATTACAGTGATGTCGAGAAAATGAAAAACCCCAATTAATCCTTCCGCAACAGCTGGACCTGATCTCGTGATGACACCGTCTCGCCTCATCAAGTCGCAGCAATCTTGAGATTAGATGGAATTGTACACGCGGGACAACTCTTCTACAATTCGTTCGGTGGCTCAGTACCTGGGAACTTGCGGGCGAAGGAAACCAACGTGATGACCTGGTCGACTTGCAACGTGTTGGGGTTAACTCCAGGATTGACAGCGCGAATCTGGCCTTCCGAGCTGCGGTACCTCCGTCCAAGAATGAAGAATGTGTCTCCAGCCTTTATTTTGTATGGTGTCACTTCGGCCATGCTGTTGTCGCAAATCGGAATATTGACCACTTGGCCAATGTTGACAACGTTGGGATCAGGAATGTTCGCCTTGTTGGCTCCCTCTAAAGCATCCAGCGTAATGTTGAATGCCCGCGCGACTTGGCCAAGAGTGTCGCCTTGCTGAATGATGTAAAACCCGGGACCGCCGTTGATGCAAGTCGCAGTCGGAGTGACAGTGGAGATGCACGAGGTGCTGTCGGGAATGCAAACCTGAGGAGGAATAGTGATCTTAGCCCCGGCCAAAATGAAGTCGGGGACGCTGATGTTGTTGGTCTTGGCGATGTCGCAAATTCCACGGTTGAACTTCTCCGCAATCTTCGTCAACGTGTCGCCTTGCGCAATTACATAGGTTTGCGTGGACGTGTCGAGCTGGATTGAGCCGTTGCAAACTGGTTGAGATGATGTGTTAATATCGATGGTCATGTCGATGGATGTCGTGGAGACCTCACGTTGTCGAGTCTCCAAATTGTTGATCAGAGCTCGTTTTCCAAGACGTCCGACAACGTTCAAGTCGGCCGCGTCGGGATAGGCCTCAGGCATCGCGGCAGCGAAGCCGAGGAGGGATGCTCCAGCAGCCAGGAGGGTAAGGAGACGCATGTCGGATCCGTTTCTGAGTTTCAAGTTTTGTGTTTTGTCGCTCAACACTGTGTCTGTCGAGAGGTTGGTGCAAGTGGCGACTGCTGAAGGAAGATGAAAGGCAGAAGTTACTCTTTAAAAAGCGGTGACTTGGAGAGGGGCAAGCTCCTTTCCAAACCTGGGCAGATAAATGAAACTCAGAATCAAGCGCAACCTTAACGCTACTCGCAGAGCTCGTCATTCGATGTCCGATATTTGCCGTCTTATGGAGCAGCTTGGTATTCTCAGTGACTGATAAGTGGTGGCGGCGGTTTGGGTTTACTCGGAAACGCTGCTGTCAAGAAAGGAAATAGCCGTCAACTCTATTTCAAACAAGGTGACTCGACCCCTCTGTTTCCTCCCCGCGTACCTGCATACATGTACGTCATGGCTTTCCCTGAGTATCCTGGGCCGCACAAGGCTTTTGGCGGATGACGACGCTGTCAAAGGGTCTCGTGCCAGCGGCTTGAGCTGATGTTAGCTTTACGTGACGAAGAAGAATGGGTAGCGCAGGAAGGGAGACAAGTCGCGAGCGCTAGCTGGCCTAATCTAGCCATCCCGACAATAGGTACCAGGGGAAATTAGATCTTGAAGCACTTCAACTGGGGCTCCCCGCCATCGACCCCGGAATCGACAACCTGAAATCTTGACGGATTACCACATTTGTCAACTGTCGACTGCCAACCCACGATGGATGCGGTCACAAGTTTCGCAGCATGGCACGCTGATGACGCGCATTTGGCTTGTTGATCTGCGTCTGGTCGATCTTTGAGCCGCTGCTGTGGGCGCTCATGCATGAAGCACTTCGAATGGATGATTGAGTCTTTGAAAATACGCATCTTTTTCGCGCATCTTTTTCGTGCATCTTTTTCGCCGGAGCACTTGCGAGAGCAGCGACATCCTGGAGCAGCAAGGGTACACGTTACGTGTGCCTGACGATGCGGACTGATTCTGCATTTCGTAGCGCAGACAGCTATCTGGGACAGTGGGTAATTGGGTTGAATACGACGACGAGATTCCGTGTCGTGAGGCGCTCTGCGGCTTGGACAGGAGCGGTCCGAATCCTGCAGACGGTGTTGGGTTGGCATGGTCGACGGGCAAACTTTGCCTCTGGGTGAGGAGAAGCTCGATCCTTGAGGGATTTCCCTGCTCGCGTGTTGGCACGGCCAAGCATCTCTTCTTACGGAGAAGTTGCGCCTTGGCAACTGACTGACACCTGGGCGGGGTGTTGCGATGGATTGTCGGGTGATGAATGTTTTGAGCACTCGCCGGTCCTGGCTTGTTGGCCACATCCAGCCCTGGTCGCTAGATGAGGGACGCATGTTGTCGAGCTACAAAGGTATTAGCATTGGCGAGCGACTCTTTGCCCAAAAAGAGTAAGGAGTAGATTGGGGCTTTTCGCAATCGCCAAAGGTCCGAGGAAAACAACACGCTGACACACTATTAGCCGTTCAAAAACGAATTACCGAATGATCAGCCACGTAAAAGGCATGGAAGTGGCTTTGAATCCAATCCCTCGGTATGCTTTACTCGTATTTGCGGACGCTGTGACTGAACGCCGCAGAAGGTGCTCCCTCGGGGAAAGGCTCTACCAAAGGCAAAACCTGGCGGAAGCGCGGAAGGCTCCATGCACAGTTGGACCGTCAAACAGGCCCAACGTAGGCAGAGGTGAGTGTAAGTTTTTGTCCAAAGCATGTTCTCCCGCGCAGCTTGTTTGTTGTGCACGTCGCAGAAAGTGACACGACTGGCACGTGGTCGCCGTTACTGTAGATGCCCGATTTGAGAGACGGCTCAGTGGAAAGGTTGGTGGTATATTTCACGTCGATGCGATGCAGGTGAGGTGATCAGAGGCGCGAGGACGGTCCGTATCAGGCGCGACGAGGCGGAAGGACTCGAGCACAGTAAGTAAGCCGTCAGGCACGATGATTGACTGTTGGTTCTCGCGGCAAAAGGTGTCCATACTTGGAACAGCGTTGGATGATGGAGTTGTCATCGTCGTCGCAGCAGTTTCCGTCGATATCCGCCTGTAGAGTCGTGGCTTGATGGGTGGGACGACACAAAGAGCGGGGCGGGTGCTCGAGCGGCAGTCAAGACAAGGTTCTGTGCCGAGGTCTCGCCTAGACCATGCGGCTCTCCCATTCGCCAGAGGCCGGCGCTAGTGGCGGCACTAGCCTGTTCGGGCAGCGCCCACGTTTTCCGCCCATCGCGAGCATCTCCGCCGAGGAATGCAAAAAACCACCAAACGATCAAAACAACACGCGCCAGCAGCAAAATGACATAGAGAAAAAGCAAAAGAGATCACGTGCGTCGCGACACCTGTGAGATTCGAACTCACGCTCCCGAAGGAACTGGCTTTGTTACGATCGCGGAGATAATAGCAGGCCAGCGCGTTAACCACTCCGCCAAAGTGCCGAAGTGTTGTGATTGAAAGCAAGCTCATTGTTTAAATATATATACTGTAATTTTATACCACGCTAGTTGTATTTTTTTTTTTTTTTGATTGATTGATTGA